ATGATGCAAAGATGAGAGTATGTGGACCGCGTGGCACTAATGAAATAGTAGAAGATAATATAGGTAAGTTGTAGTGCTTGGGAACGAGGTTATTCACCCCGGCCTGCTCTCAGTCTGACCTCTAGCTCAGCTGGTAGAGCATCGGTAGTACAGTTCCGAAGGTCGTGGGTTCGAATCCCAGCGAGGTCGGAAATTAATTTTTCCGAATTTAATTCTAAGGGCTTTCGCCCGGAATAACCTCGTTCCCAAGCACTACAACTTACCTATATTATCTTCTACTATTTCATTAGTGCCACGCGGTCCACATACTCTCATTCTTAAAATATGGTTTTCAGAGAAACCCAAAGATATTTCTGGACAAAAAAAAAAAAAAAAAAAAAAAAAAAATAAAAATGGACAAAAAAAAAAAAAAAAAAAAAAACTGTTCACAGTATATGAAACTCAATTAAGTGACAGATAGGTTTGCTTTGTATAGGAACCGAACCCAAGGCCCAAAAGGTTAAAGGCTTGACCTAAAACTTTGGGAAACAAAAACCCGAGAGACGTACGTTTAAAAGTATTCATGAAGACTTATATTTTTTCACTGTCGAATTTTAAAAGAACGGTAGAACTGAGGTAAACTGTTAATCGAATTACGATGAAAACCTTGATAAGACTCCGTGCCAAAATTGAAACCTAAAAAACGTTATTGGTGTATCGCCAGACGTAGATATAATTAGACGATATTCATCGGTTCGCGTGCTGCCCAGATGACAAAACGAAAGTAAGACAAAAAGTATATACTTTCGTAAGCCGAGTGTGAACAGAATGTGATCGTTATGGCATCTTAACTTGGCAGTTTCCGACAGTGGATGACTCGAAAGCAAGTTTATTTATACAGCTATCAAAGATAATACTTTTTGAGTGATTTTAGCTTATCTAGTAAACTTTAAATGTTCATGTTGACAGACTCACACGATACAAATTTGAACTTTACATAACTCGTAAAATCCCACCAAGATAAAACGAACTAACATCTTTAAATAAGTTCATGAGAGAATTTTTAACTAACCCTTTTACTCCAGGCTCCAAAATACGGAACGGTACTCGTAGAATCCTCAGTTGAACTCCAAAATCCCGTAGTCCCTGCCAAGCGACTGCCAGCGTTCGTATCTTCTAGTTCAGGTAGCCCATAAGAGAACGACTCCTTATCGGGATTTCTACCCGAGAGGGAGTAATTCCCAAGATTTACGGCTTGGTTTGAGTACTTGGAATCCCCTTGAAGTGGTGCTATTCTACTGTTTTGAGCACCAAATAATTTCGGACATGGTTTCGGACTTGGATTAGTTTTGAAAGCCTTGACAACAGCTGCGGTTTGCTGTACTTTTTTTGTCTTTTCTTGTCCTGTTTTCTTCGACACAACAACTCCCATTTCTTCTGGAGTAAAATGGTTGTTACAGCTTAACAGAGTCTTTATCTGGCATAATTTGAAGCCAGTCTTCTACGCTTCTTGTGTACGAAACGAGAGCTCTTGCTACGTCGGAATGTATCGATTAAGTACTTGACAGCTCACTTTGTTATTGGCTTTTGTTTTGTCAATAATTAATTTGGTAGGTACGATATTAAACACGGCGTAAGAGGTACAAAAGTTAATTAATGGTCTATTCTTAGGGAACTATTTGTATTGTAAATCAGACATAATTATCCGGCCGCGCTAAACACCTAAATTAAATGATCTTTCGAGTTACCATAGCAATACACCACAGGAAGTCCAATACCACGAAACATTGAAAGACTGAATGTCTAAATGTTCAAAACGGGAGAAAACTACTTTTTGTGTGTGCTGTTCTAACTTTGAAATCCACTGGAAATAAATTAACACATATTTAAACAAAAGATGTATAAGAAACACTTTATTTCTTTAATTTCAATACACCGATTATTGCACACAAGACCTCAGCTCAAAAAGGGCTTATATTAAACCGAAAAATTCATTTACAAGAAAGAAAGATTAAATATTAAAAAGGTTTCATACATATACTCTATCTTCTCTGAATGGATGTTTATAGACACCTGTATATTTAGCAACAGCAGCAGCCACAGCTAATCCAACCATTGCTCCTGTTCCGATACCCCAGCTACGCCCTGGAAGGAACAAACACAGTGCCTTAAAATGGGTCTTACTGTAAGTTAGATGAATGAATGAAAATCTTTATTTGTGTGGGGTAATCCCTTCAGTGGCGCAAGTCACACTGTTATCAAAGGGAGTCCTCGAAACAACACACTGCTTAGTTTGAGTCGGTTAAGTGGGTGGGAGAGGGAGAGGGAGAGGGAGAGGGAGAGGGAGGTGGGTGCTATTTAACAAAAGATTCCTTATTGACATCCATTGTCGATTGTCAACACCACCAACATGTCAACCATGTCTTTGTTGCTTGACTCTCTTGGGAATAGTTGCAGGCCGACAATAGCCAGCTTTTGATATTCTGGTTGAGTGTTCAAGCACAAAACAATCCGAGTCGAGGCTCCAGGAAAACCATAATGTAATCGTAATTATTCTCTTGATTCCCCAGAGCCTCGACTCAGATTGTTTTTTGCTTGAACACTCAACCAGAAGAATATCAAAAATAGGCTATTGGAATAAGACTATATTTAGAACTTACTGTTTAATCCAATGAATACACCAGTAGCAGCTCCACCTGCTGCCCAGTTCTTGGGGTCATCAACTCCTCTAATGGCTGCTACTGTTGATGTTGTTCCTGCAAATATTGCTGCTGCACCACCTGTCAATCAATCAATCAATCAATCAATCAATCAGCCAGCCATTTAATCCATACATTCATCAAATAATATTGTTATAAATTACAAAGTGTCAAAATCCGTTTTTTTCCTCTGTTCTCATTGGCCAAGAGGGTGCCACATGGTGGTCATAAAATTTCATTGTTTCCCAGCAATTGTTCTCAGGGGGTAACTTTACATTTATGTATATTCCAGAGTGAATGACAAATCTCGAAGTGATTTCACCAGAAAGGTTGTTCTAAGTTTTCAAAATCAAATAATCAAGAAATCACAAATTACTTTGGTTTCTTTAACTCTTTGTATATAAGAAGATTCACTAACTGGAACCTTGGAAATCCAGTGTGTTTTGCGGTCCCTTGAAGGCAATGCATCCCTTGGCTTCCTCTAGGGAAACATTGCAATATTGGAACCACAAAAACTCTGTTCCCCTCAATTCCAGTCAATAAGTGTTAAATAATATCTTATACTACTACAGCAGCAATTCACTTCACTATGCTAGCCCAAACGTGACAAAACTTCAAGTTGCATTTTTTCATGATCAAGCAGTACTTTTTATACATCAAGTTGATTTTCATTACACCAAGACCCTTGTGTTCTATGTCTAGTCATTTGTTTTGCTTGTCTAGTCATTTGTTTTTGATATCAAGCGCAATGTTTAAGTTGACAAGCAGCCATCGCAATCAAAAGTCATTTAGTTCTTTGCGATTTGCATACAAAAGGGAACGCTAGAAGCACTCAGGAGAAGATTGATTTCAATCAGCTTGCGATCGATGCGATCATGAAAAAATGCAACTTGAAGTTTTGTCACGTTTGGGCTAGCATACTTCACCAAACATTCAGTATGGTTTTGGGGTACCACCATGGTTCGATAACGATTTTTTTGATGAAATGAATCCTCAATAAATGGTTGGTAAGATAATGGTAAATGTTTTGTAAATGTCTTAATTGCTCACTATACAGTGTAGCTAAAGTGAATGGTAACTGAATTGGAGTTATATTACATCAACATGAATAGCTTCCCAATGAAATGCCAAAAACTAACAAGTGACAGCATCAAATGCATAAAAAATATATGAGATTATTTTGGTTGGGAATCAGAGAATGCTCTGGTAACTGAGCAAAATTCTACAGCTTAAACTACCATTAACAACCTACAGTAGTAATTTGTTAAATGTTCTCTTGGTCTCAGGAATCTCTGAAGTTTTTGATCTTCTATCATTTAGAATTATAAAATAACTGCTAAAAATCTCATGTTCTGATTAGTTGCAGGCAGGCGCTTTATGAGAGCGTGTGCTTTTTGAGAGTGCTTCGCATCATACTTTATCACTGCACACAGCATGCGTGTGCATTTCATATTTCTTCAACTTGATGAAAATGCTAACTATTGGATCACATTACCTATTAACAGTGTTGTATTCTTCATGGTGTTTAATGCTTGCAGGATGAGAGGTGTTGGTGCTGGTTTTGGTGGTGTTAATGCCGCTGCACAGGCACCATAAAATGCTCCTGTCAACAAAAAAATGTTTAGGATTAAAAAAAACATTTTATAAAATAGTTTTGAATCTTAACTTTTTTTTTTGACGATTACACCTTCACTATTTTTTTTATTTCAGGGGTCAAATGCCTTCTTTCTATCGTTTTAATATTCTCCTACTAGTTTGTCTTAATACAGTACAGTGTACTGTATGTTATCCAAAGTCATAATATATCTGTACCATATGATATATCGTATATTATTGAGGTCATTACGTGAAGACAGTGGAAGTTCCCTTTGGTGTTACAGCATGTTGTACTCTGTCGTAAGTCAGTACTGTACATGTCCCACTCAGATGAAAAATATTCCAAAATTTAATGATTTTAGTTGGATAACCAAATGAAGGGAATGCAATCTACTGTACACTATTTTGTAGTAGGAATTTATTTAGATTCCTAGTTCAAGACACAACAGATTTTTTTCCAGGATACATTTGGTTATTGACAGCAACTTTATACTTCAATCTAAAGCAATGAATTTTCTTTAGACAATTAGCTATAATAACAGCAAAACTTTGGACTTTTCGAGTAAGAAAGACAGTTTAGGTCTGCTGTGAATCACTGCAAATCACTCGATGATATTCGACCTTTTACTTACCAACTAAAGCTCCCCTTGCACCAAATGACGCCGTCCTTTCAAGGATATGTTCTCCATCGAACTCCTTTATACGAAGATCGTGTCGTTTGGCCATATTAAGATGCTTTTTTGAAGCAAAAAATTTCACTCCACCATGAACGAAAACTGTGATGATCACTGCAGACTAAGAAAAGGTAACCAGGCCTTGAACAAACTACACAGGAATCCCACGCTTTGGAAAGCTAACTATGCAGCACCTATTTCAGAAAACGTTGTCCATTGGATATCTGAACTCAGAAATCTGAGACCGATTGGAATTGTGGGGGACTGAGTGTTTTCTCGTTCAAAATTCAATATACACTTACCCAGATAGTTTGCCAGCGCAGGTCATCGCTCAAAGTTAGTATATCAAGATATTTTAACTTTTGCAAACTAGGGGCGAGGTCAAAACAATGATCCAAAATAGGGACCCGATTTTATGAATTAAGGTGGTGGGTATCGGTACATACCCCCTCCTCCCTCAGAGACTTGTTCAAATGCTCGATACTGGGGGTCTGTAGTGGCAATTTCTATGCACAAATATGTTTTTTAGCATACATGCAGACAAACAGTCCATTCATTTCTGCGATTTGGCTTTTAGTTTTGGAGATATTTGGGGACAAAGTACAGGCTAGTTTAAATAGATTCCTGTTCAACACCTTGTTTATTAATGAACTAATATTAGTATATAAATATCCATGCATATATATTTTTTACAAACTCATTAATAAACCATGAGCAAAACACAAAAGAAATCATGATCGTGAAGAGTTTATAATTCTGATACAGAATCATGTCATTTGCATAAACTTTACCTTAGATTTTCTTGGGCAGATTCACTTTTATCTTGAAAATTTTAATGAAACACAAAGGAACTAACCTAGACGTCTGTTAGAACAATATACAGTATTCGTGTCCGTGTTGTATAAGATACTGATATAATTTCGAGGCGTAGCCGAACCAATTGCCCTATTTTACTGTGACGTCACTGATTGTTTATGTGGGGGATAGAATCGCCAAATCCGATAGAAAATTTAACAAAATTTGCCCCTAGCGAAACAGTTTAATCTAAAATGGCTGGCTGTTCTACTTCTTTTCGTGGATTGATACGGGTTTTAGAACAATTTTCGGTGAATTTGCGTTGATTTGACCCCCTCCGACGACCATGATCCTTTGCGTTTAAACAATAGATTGTTTTGATGTAACGTCATAGTGAAATAGGACAATTTTATTGCTCGATTAACTTTGAAAGACTGACATGTATTCGCCCCTTGAAAGTTTCAAGCTACTAGTTATTATTGGCGTGACTTAAACGTAATATACGTGAAATATAATTTATAAAAAGTCAATGAGGCTGAAAAAAAGTGCCGGACAGATGCCCGGTAAAGATAAGTACTTGATTCTATGCTCTAAAATTGACCTGCTTATCAAAATAACCACTGTTTCTTGGGTACTATCGTCGTGTACGGATTAACGAAGTACGTCATAGATTTCCGAACACACGAGTATGACTTAGAAATTTTGCTTCTCCTCACTTAGAAAAAAAATCAACTGAAAAAACCAAGAATCGAACTCGGTACCTTCGGCA